ATACTATCTTCTCTTAAGTAGTAAAAAAATTTAGATGTTTCCGTTTCATAAGTGGGTTAATAATGGAAAATCGATTATAATGTTGAAATAATGCTCATAAATTAATGAGTCTTAATATCCGATGTTATATTGGCTTTTGTTATAAATTTGAAATTTTATTTAATTAGTTATCTTTGTTTTATAAAGGGGCTAATGCCTACTCGGATTGACATGGACGGCATTTGCTGGGTCACGTTCAGATACAAAGACAATCTCTACTCGTCACTAGGTCTTGTCTCAATCGGTTTTGGCGTCTTAAACCCTTCTCTTCAAGCTTTTGGTAAAGGTATCGCTTTGATGGAGAGAATGGGAGTTGGAATGTTCCTATCGATCATTGCCATTGTTATTGCGGCATTAGTCGAAAGGAAAAGACTAGACATAAGCCAAAGGACGAAGACTTTACCTGGTTATGATCCGAAACCGTACAGCTGAGCATCTTCTGGCTGCTTCCTTAGTATATCCTCTTGGGAATTTCAGACATTTTCACAGTGGTTGGGATGCAAGAGTTCTTCTCTATATAGAAGAACTCTTGCATCCCAACCACTGTGAAGATATCTGGATGCCCAAGAGTACATATACTGAGGAAGCAGCCAGAAGATGCTCATCGGTACGGTGTCCGGATCATGACCAGGTAAAGTCTTGCTCTCTTGGCTTAAGTCTAGCTTTTTCCTTTCGACTAATGCAGCAATAACAATGGCAATGATCGATAGGAACATTGCATTGTATCGCATAGTATTTTGTCGAACGCAAATTAAGAAGTGGATTCACTTTAATCCACATCGTTGTATTTTGTCGATTGCATTGTATCGCATAGTATCATCTTTTCTTTTTTTGTCGACTGCTTTGTATTTTGGAGATGTTTAGACCAATTATGGGTAAACTCTCATGCATAAATATGGGGAAGATGTACTTTTGATGATTTTAGTTACAATCTAACTAAATAACTCGTAAATATTGTTGAACTGATGAGAAGAAGAAAAAAACAGATGAAATTAAACTAAACATGATTAAACTAAAGAATCTTAGAATACTAGAAAATAGACATGTTATTATATAGAGAAATTAGCTTCTATATTAGTTATTGGCTCTATATTTAATTATCTAACATAACATAAAATTAAATTTAGTAACTAACATTCTAATTACTTGAGACTCCAATTTTATCCTTAATGTATTTATGGTAGTTGATTTCATATCTCATTTTCATTATTACTTCATTTAATACATTATTTTCTCATATTAAATTCTTTCTTTCTCATTTCCAAAAAAATAAATGAAGATAAATAATATTTTTATTTGTTTATTATTAGAAAAAAAATAATTAACAACATAAACGTTTAGACTTTTCATTTCTATTAGTTATATATTTATACACATATAGTTAACTATGTATCCAAATATACTTATCAAAATTTTTTATTTTTATTAATTTTATAGTTAACTATGTATCTAAATATACTTATATTTCTAGTTAAATTTCTTCACAAACAGTCAACTATACTTGTTATATTTACGAATAGTTTACTCTTAACTACTCACTCTCTTTGTGTATAATTGAGTATATAGTTAGATATATACTAACTATTTTAAAATATAATTACTTATAATTAAATTTTTATATGTAGTCAACTATATACCCACATGTATTATCTATATAGTTAATTTTTTCACAAACAGTTAACTATACTAACAAGTTACATTCACGAATAGTTCACTATTATCTATATACTTAGAAATATAAATAACTATATTAAAATGTAGTTAATTACATATTCATGTATAGTTAGCTATATATAAATACATAGTTGTCTATTAGTTAACTTTATTCATAAACAAACAACTATATTCGTTATATTCACAAATAGTTCACTATTCAATTATACTTATTATATTTTAATTTTACAAATAGTCCACTATTTATGTTAATAATATATAATTTTTGATATAGTTCACTATATAATTTATATATTCAAAGTTTTTAAAAACAATCATTTACTAGAAAAAGAAAAAAATGCAGGAAAAACGAATACATATATATTATTATTATATATGTCAATTTCAAGATTATTTAATTTTGGAAAGATTATTTAAAAAAAAATCAATTTGCATTAAATATGCATTTAAAGTAACAACTTTAATTGAATTGATTAAAGGGTAAAATGGTCAATTTTTATTTATCTTTGTTACTTACTAAATTTCTAAACTACACATGTTATTTTCTTAATTTTTATGTCCAAACATGTTATTTCACTAATTAACCCTATTATATATCTACTAGAATAGGACTCGCGTTAATACGCGGATAAATACTATAAA